ACTTCACAGAAACCTTCCTCTGGGTTGCTTCCTTCCCCATCATTGCCGTCCATGGCTGTATTTGCATGTTATGGTGCTAACATGTGGCCTAGCCAAACATCATGGCATTTCAAATGAAAGATTTGGAGGGACTCAGAGAAGAGTTCAATATGATGACTTGTGATTTATTCTGAGCGTAGCAAAGTGAATTGATGAATAAAAATTGTTTATTGTTGAAACAAATTTGCTGCCTTTTAGAAACTGTTTTCCTGTTCTAGTGTCTCAGGGCTGCTTTGATGTTTTCATCTCTTGAGCTGACTTTCAACAATAACTACACTTATTTGTGCCTTGCACAGTGGAGAGAATGGGTTTTATTGTGGGGAAATAATCCCCCTCTGCTCAGCAGTGCTGCTCAATGGCCATTCTCACCAAGAAGCAAATAGCCTGCTGATGCTGTACCATCCAATGCAACCTCCTGGCACTTTCTCCACTCCTTTCAAAATAATAAAACTCCAACAGACTTTAACTGGTAACAGTTGTGCAGTCATATTGGATTTTGAAAATTAGTTACCTTTAAATAAATAATCCCTAGAGAGAATTATGATATTAATTCTGAAATAGTTTAGTTTTCCTCATAAAAATTTGGCAGTGGTTCATCTTGTGTTGATGCATTAAGTTTCCATGAAAAGAAAGGGCTGAATGCCATCTCCTTGGAGCTTGCTTCAAATCAAACCTGGTGTCACTACTCTACAGGTTATCCTGTATGGGTAACATCATTATCCCCTCTGACAGAAAAGGAAACTTATTAGCTTCAAGTGCAAGCTGCTGCCAAAGTTAAAAGGCTGGTTAATAGTAGGGCCTAATTTTTTAAATAAATCAGACAGATTTCCAGTCTGAGTTCCTAATTACTAACAACTACACTGTATCCTTTAGGGGAAAATTATTTCCAGAAAAGACTCTTCATTCACACTGCAGAAAGTAAGCTAACACACTATGAGCCTCCAAATGATATTTGCCTGTCTTTATGCAGCCTGTGCATTGAATAATGACTGTCTCTTTTGATTTTGCTGATTGAAATGAAAGGAATATCTACCTCTGATTTCTGTGAAGAATTGACTTTAACTAACGATCTGTCAGAATGTTGGAGCTTGCATTGACTAGTTCTTTGTGGACTTTTCATGATAGTGTCATTTTGTTGCAAGGTGATTTCAACAGATATTTCTTTATATGATTTTTCCCCAAAGCTGGCTCAGAATTTTGATGCTGAGTGTTATTAATATCAAAAGGTCTTCAATTCATTTAGTGGTATGCTCAGCTCACCCTATGGGTATATCCTGATCCTGTCTAAGGCTTTCTTATCAGATATTTTCCCACAAAACAAAGTTCTGTAAAAAATATAGAAATGTGCCGGGCATCGATGCACATGCCTTTAATCCCAGCACTCTGGAGGTAGAGGCAGGCGGATCTCTGTGAGTTCAAGGCCAGCCTGGTCTATGTGGTGAGTTCCAGGCCAGCTGGGGCTACGGGGAGACCCTGTCTCCAAAAAAAAGACCAAAAGAAAAATTGAGTTGTTCAACATTGAAAAGACTTTGTGTGTGTGTGTGTGTGTGTGTGTGTGTGTGTGTGTGTGGACAGCTGGGGGTAAAAGGAGACCTTTTTTAAAAAAAAAAAAAAAAAAATTCTTAATCAAAAAAAAAAAAAAAAAAAAAATATATATATACATGGTAAAAATGCATTTTTAGACAAAAAAAATTTTTCTTTATGTGCAGCACATTTTGGAGTGTTTCAGCATAGCTACATCCAAACAATTCAAGATTTCCTTTGGACAAAGTTACTTTGATTTAAGAGAGAGTTGAGGTGGCTGGCACATACCAGGGGCCTGACATTTCACTCAGTACTAGACAGACTGAAACAGGTGAGAGAATATCTCCAAGGGGCCTAGACTGTAGGTGTGAAAAATCAAATGAAAAATTAACACGAATTGGGTTGGTGAGATTACTCAGTAGGTAAAGGTTCCTGTAGACAAACCAGATGACCTGAGTTTGGTTTCTGGGACCCACACAATAGAAAAAGAGAACTAACTCTAGACCCATGCATGCCCATCTCCTCCAAACAAATAAATAAAAAAGTAATAAGATAACAAGAGTAAATGTTAGATATGACAGACTTTTAAGTTATAGAAACGGAAAGGGGGTCTAGATAATAGGCAGGCATGTTTCAAGCAGTTTTCTTTTCAAGTGGCACATTTGATTTATATCTTAAGGTGTCACTATATCCCCAGGCAAAGGAGGATGATGTACGATGAAATAGTGTGGGCACATCTATAGCACTTTAGATCTCTGGCAGATATACTGAAAGTTTTCTGCGTGTGTTCATGTGAAATGCATGACTAGTCTTGAGAATATAATGTAGGTATAGGCAACACAGGTAAGGAGCGTCTGGACCAATATGTGGTGGGATTTATATAAGACTTAGGTATTTAGATTCCATCTCACACATGAGAATAAAGGTGCTGTCTTTTGTTTTTTGTTTTTTTTAAGCAAGGCAGTGCCCTACATAGGCAATCTCTGTAGACTGTTGCCCTGCAGTGTAAGAAAGAATGACAGAATCAGAGGACAGTCAAGGAAGAGAGAAGAAAAAACACATTTTAGAGGCTCAGGCAAATGCTGGAGAAGCAGCACGCTTGGCTGGTCATTTAGGTAGAGGTGTGATCCTCTGAAGAACGTAGAACGTGAAGAGTCTAGGCCGTTTGTTGATTCTTTGCAGCTTCTGGGAAAGATTTGAGGAAGCCATATTTGACTCCCTTGGAAACTGATTAATTCAACAGCCAAACCTATTGACACATCAAAAATGTGACGAATGGTAATAAAGCTAAAGCAACAAAGGTCAAAACTACCAAACTATGGAGTTTAGTAGTCTAAGACTGTGTTATTCTTTATTAGGAAAAGACTGGCCCCAATGGAGGTTTACGAGCCGCTGGAATCCTAAGACTATCCCCCAGGAAAATATCTATATGTTCACGAAAACTTACTACCAAGAAAATTGAGACATGGGATCATCGGTGTGTGCGCATAAATGACATCCAGTTTGATATATAATATTATGAACTAATAAAAATAAAGTCCAAATAATACCTCTAAAGCATATATCCTGTATTCCTAATAAATTCAGAAGCCCATTTTCTAATGTTCAAAACCATTCGGGCATACTTGATTCTTCAGCTAATCTATGAAATGCTTAAACGCCCTTCACAATGTGAAACAAAGCCATTACTAAAAGAGCCAAACTCATGGACTAATAGGTTTTTCTGGGCTTTCCTCCTGCTGTTGATATAGATAGCTTGATCTCTTCCGAATCCTTCCAGTAAAATAATCACAAGAACAGAATTTCTACACGAAGTAGGAATATTTGAAGACTGAAATCCATAGATTTAAGTTTTAATGTTTCTTTGATTTGCCATAAGTAATAACAGTGGCATCTACTGATAATCTGTAATAGTTGTCATCAAAAACCTTTAAATATTGAATAATAATTTGTCCTGAAGGTCAGTCTTAAGGCTAGTCAATTTATTGAGAGTCAAGGAAATAGGAATACATCGAGTCATGCTTAGGGCTCATTTCTGACTTGATCATCTATAACACTTTTGCTGTGGATCAAACACTTAACTTCTCTTGAAGTTCCGTTCTAAACTCTGAGCAATTACTGAGAATGTACCTTAAAAAGATTTCAAAAAAGTAGTGGAAATATATACCTATGCATGTGCTTATCTCTACGTGTTCTGATATTTCTCAAGTGCCATTATTATTAATTTGTATTGATTTCCTTTTTAGAAAGGTAATTGCTGAATTTTCAATTATTTGGCATAAATTTAAAAGTTTACTTCAATGTTATTCCTTTGCAGCATCTTTTAAGACAAATGCAACATCAGGCTTCCCAACAGGGAGGTGTGTTTATTTTATTACTATGAGCATCCTGCTAGTGTAGCAAAGGAATGCAGGATGCGCTAGAACACATTAGAAAGCATTTCACACATGAGTTCCTAAATAGCAGGGTCTTTCTTTTCTCTGAATTTTGAGTAGAATCCAACACACAGCTATAACAGTAGGCTGGGAACAAACACATTGGGTCCACAAATTTCTTAGGAACTTGGTGGAATCCAAAATACATTTGATTTGGCTAAGACGTTTTTGTATTCTTCTATGAGATTCCCCAAAGTTAGATTAGAGACTGAATCAGCGGGCTAAGGCCTTAATACATTCTTTAGAATTCATGGTAGTTGTTTGGCCAACAGTCTAGTTACAATAAAGTCACGTCTATAACTCTTGTCAAAAACAAACAAGATTGGCAATATCATTATTTTATATAAACTCCTTCCAACGTAATATGAATCACGTTCACACTGGCTTTCATCATTTATTTTCCAGCTGAGGTTTTGCGAGTACTACTAGTTAAGTGAAATGTCATAGTTTCATTTCCTGGTTCAGTTTCTGTGGAATACATCAATGGTAAAATGATCAAGAGGAGTTAGAGAAAGGTTCTGGAGAGCTCTGTAAGACTAACACTGCCATGACTGTCCACTGAATAATACAAGTGGATAAGCAAAGGATGACAATTCTTATACAAAACACATTTAGAGTCAATACTGCATATTATGAAAAGAGAGAGACTATTGTGGTTGGATCACTACATTGGTTACATGTTTCTGCTTGTATTTCTCAAATGAAGACTGCTGTGCTCTGTGTATGGTTGTATATATGAAATAACATTTTAGGAAAACACACTTTAACTGAGAAAAAGTAAACAACTACCACATGACCCCCTCACAAAAAAGGACCAAGTGGTCTTTAAAAGCAGAGGCATTTTTTACGGTAAAGAGCATGAACATTCCATGACTTACTTCATTTCTGTAGTCTTCCCTGCATCAGAAAGCATTCCTCATACTTCATTGACATTACATCACAAGCACTTGATGTATTCCAATGAACTTACTCAGATCAACACAATGGGGTTTTCTTTTAAAATAAGCCTTTACTGAATATATCAACAAGGTACTGTATAGTGTAGAGTGAAGTTTGTAGTTAACAAAGTGTGCAAAATGGTAGGTCTCAGAGGATGTGTGACACAGAATCTTCCAGCCCCTTGTCAGAGAGAACACACTAAACACAAACCAGAATCAAATCAACATATGATTCAAACAATAACAGATCATCAGGATTAACTCTTAATGAATATCATCCTATGAGGGACACACAGTGGTGATACCTCACCTTGTCATAACTGGTTACAAATCTCACATCCAACAAATACCTTTACAAACACCCCCCCATGAATGCATATGCATGGATGTACATGTTTTATAGTGATTTATAGATCCCTGTTGCAGTGGCCTTGGTTTGTGCTCTTCTGGTGGGTGAGGAGCTAGAAAATAAAATATTACAACCAAACAATCTGATTTGTTTAAACAGTATCACATTCTGTGCACAACTTTCCTCCCCAGTCAGTAAAAGTCCCCCATTGCCAGCAATTGCCATTCAACCCCACTAAAGAAATTAGAGAAGGGTGTAAGGTACAGCTTTGTGTCATTGGTATTTTGGTATTTTTTAAAAAGTCAGGCAAGTTTTGACAAGAAGAATTAGGAATTGCTGTTTTGTGTGCTCATCATTTTCCTGTTGGACGCTTTTTTTTATGCTTTTCTTTGCCATACAGCTGGAAAAGTAAGTTTTGAGAATATGTGTTATCCTTAGGTTTTAAAGTAACAGGAAATGTCACCTCATGATAGGTCAGAGACAAATGATTTAAGCAAAGACATCAATGGGTAACCACTTCACTGTCACGCTGAGCCAGTGCGGCACCTGGCTTGTGTTTGGAAGGGATGCTTCACTCACATGAGGCTCTTGCTTTCCCCAGGGGACAAGGATGTTCTGATTGTGGCATGACTAAGACCACTCAGATCTGCATTATTAGGAAGCAAAATGCAGTATCAGCTACATCAACTTTTTCCTAGACTTGTCACACTAGTTTTTGTTTCTATCCTTGAGAGAATATATCTAACATTGTCTCAACAAACATCTGGATAATTGTAAGCTACACTAATTCTCACAGGTAGAATGTTTTCCACTTACAGCATAAAGAATATAGGCACAGAAACACCTTCCTCATGTCTGTGTGTGACTGTTCCATGTGTATGCTGCCCATCTCAGGAATGAACAGTGTCTGAGGGAAACCCAGAGTCTCTTCATGGTCAGACACATCCCTACAAGCAAGAAGGTATTATAGGCTGCCTTCGGTATGATTAAACATCAGTAGCATCCTTGTGACCTTGCTTTGCTTTCTTCCTTTTGCAATGTCCTCTGTGTGGTGACAGTTACTGTACTGACAGAGATTGGATACTACATGAAATCACCTCCATTTTGACTCTTTACTAGTCACCCCAAAATACATAATGGTGAGCTCACATGGGTACCAAATGCAGAGACATAACTACAAAACACATTCCATGACTAAATATTCCAGTCAAAAATGTCAAACATTAGTGATTGCATCTAAAAGATGCATAAGTTATTACAGATGCCATGATGTGATTGCTACCCTAGTGTAGGAGAGGCCCCGCCCCCAGGTACACTACTACAAATTGGAGTCTGATTTTCATTGTAGATGCCTTTGTCATAAAGCTCACAAGATCGTAATAAAGCTTTCTTTGCAGGAACATCTAGCAGAGGAACATTCAGAGCACCCTAGCCATTTTGGTGACTGGGACTCCTTAGTACCACTTTAAACCCCGATAATGTTGTATGCATCATAAGAAATCAATGGAACCTCTCCATTCTTGTTCTTCCTGGGACAAAGAAAGACATTTTAGCAGCTAATATTCTTTTGGGAGTTATATGTATAATACAAATAAATGAAAATGGCTATTTCGTGTATAACAAATAAAAACCCTCAAAAATCAAAGTACCATCATTTTTTTTCAAAACAGTTTTATCTACACAGCTGAGAAAAATAGGACAGTGGAAAGAAATTAACCATTCAAGTACACAAATCCCATGTCACTGTCCTGATTTTAGAAGGCTTACCACTATACCTTTCCTACCCTTTCATTGTATGAATCTAGCATAAAACAAAACAAAATCAACAGCCCAAATGCTCTAGTTAATGGCTGAAATGGAACCCGAGTCACTTTAGAATTAATTTAAATTAATTCATAGCTATGTTCAGCTCTACTGACTGCACAGTTTCAGTTCTTGTATCTACATTATAATTTCAGTTATATTTTTCTGCTTATTCTGAGGGTTGAGGGAGATTAAAACATATAAGTCAGGGTATATTGTTAAAGAAAATAAAGCTCTTGCTATAAAGAAAAGCTTGCATAGCATTTTATACCTAAACTTTTACAAGATGAAACACCACAGTTTTATTTTGTTTAAAGAGAAAGCAAGAAGATTGTGACATTTAATTCATGAGTCCCTAAAATAATCACCAATTGTAAGAGAAATACACAGCACAGAATGAAATGCCTAACCGTGGTTTTGAAAAGAATTTCTCAAGGGTGCATTTTCTAAGATAATGTATGTGTTCTATAGCCCTTCTACCTCTAAGAGATGACAAGAATTAAGGGAAAGCATAAATGTTTCTAAAGATGGATTTGTTTTAAACATATCTAGCATCAGTGATGGACATTGTTCTCTTTTCTGTGTCCTCTTTTTTGCCTTTCTCTTGTATGATTAGGGAAACCTTTCATTCTCTGACTTATTCATTTTAATGTGAGATTATCTCTCCAAATTTTCCAAATTAGAAGAACATTCACAAACAAAAAGGAATCAATGAACTTTCAAACACGAACAGGGTCAAAGTTAATTTGTGGTGGAAACCTAGTATTGCTTTTAACAATACGCATTCTTTTGGCCAGTTTTGATGTGTCCTTACAGAATCATTTACAGTGAACATTAGTACGCATTTTAATATGTAGAAATACATAAGGATATTTTGTGCAACCAAGATTGGCATCCATAATATTCTTTGAAATACCAAGCGTAGGGGAAACAAAAAAACCAAAGGTGGCATATACAACTAAGTTACAAAAATATACCCAAGATGATTGGAAGACAAGAATATAAGAGGGGATATAGATATTAATTCAAGCTATTTCAACATGATACTAGCAAAGTCAGCTGATACAGTGTAACAGAGCCACTGATCAGTTGTTTTCTAAATAGTTTCTGTACTTTTAAATAAACAAGTTGTTTTAATATATTCCAAACATTGTTCCTTTGTGGATCTAAATATCATGTTGATATAGCCTCAGTGAAACTACCCAAATAATTCTCATTATCAAAAATAATTCCATTCAATATAATTCTTCCCATTATTTTATTAGCCTCTTCTAAAAAATTATTCTAGAATATATCTCTGTTGAATGTGATTCAACCTGACATATGATTTGAATAGTGACATTTTTAAGGGGAGTTTTCTTATTAGAACTGATCATGCTGGTCCCTGAAGATGACTGAAATCAGACTCAGGTTTCCAACTGTTATCAAATAGGACCAGGGAAGCATGAAGAGTGATTTTGAAGTTCATAGTCAGAAGCCAACCCTGGGGTTTTAAGGATATTTCAAATCTGTCAATTTCCTTGATTTGGTCAGGTAGGGTTTGCTAATCTCATGGGAACTGGCTTCCTCCTGAGGCTCTCTACATTTCTTGCATTGGGTCAGACTGAGGTAACCACCTCCATTCTTACATTATGAACTTTTAAGAAGCTTTTCTTCCAGGTCAGGAGGTATAGAAATAGCATAGAAATATCTAGGCCACTCCTTCTTTACCCACATCATTGCTCTTACCCTGATTCTTACATCTGAATCTATCCTTTCATCTGACCATCAACTCTAGGAAAGGAATTCATTCTGACAGCTTCAACAGCAAAGTAGTTAAGATGTCTTGTAAGAAAGAATCACTCATTCTTCTGCCTTGGCGCTGGGTTCTCATTGTACAACCCCGTACAGTACTTTAGCAACTATATATATTTTTTAAGATTTAAAAAGCAAAGAGTTACAAAACTGTCTGTAATTAACTTGAAATAGAAAAGATAGCACTTTTTTAAATCCCATTATATAGTACACCGTATAAATTACAGAGTATTCAAATGCACAAATGCATCTGTGTAACATTTATCAAATGTAATTTGCGTGTCTTTATGTGCACACGTGAGTGTGTTCTCAGAGTTGTTAGTCCACCGTTCTAACTCTGGCCCTCTGGCTGTTACGTATGGCAGTGTTCCAGGTCTGGCACGCTGCTGTTGCAGTATCTCATGTTGTTGGGGATGTGGCAGTCTGTGTAATTAATGCCCCCGTTTGGGGTGTAAATGGGCTGCAGTCTGAAATCTCCTTTAAGGAGCTGATCATTATTTAAGGAGACAATCTGAAAACTGGTTTCTGTCATCTCCAGGATGGAGTTGTCTTTTTTGGTACCTGCCTCGCAATAGTCATCTTTCCGCCTGCCCCGGTTGTATTTCCACTTCTGGGAGGTGTAACGCCCCTTTTTGTGCATGTGCCAGCAAAAGAGGCTGAGCAAGACCACCAGCACAAAAATCACTGCGCCCCCAATCAAGCCTGCCAGCAGAAAGGGGGAGCCCATGCTGTGGGAAGTGGTCTGCTCATGGCTGGAAGCAGTGTTACTCCCATTGTTCAAGTAGGAGGCGTGGGTAGTGGCCTCAGAACAGATGGTATCTTCCACCGTGCGGTAGTTGAAAGCGTCCAGCGGCACTAAACAAATCCGATAGGTGGATCTGGGCTCTAAATTCACCAGGCTCAGGTGTTGCTTCTCACCACTCACAATGCGCTCCTGAACAATGCCCCCCACAAGACTGTGGCCCATTTTTACCCATGTGAGTTTGTATGCCATCACAGTAAAGAGAGACAGCCAGCTAACTTGAATCGAAGTGTCATTCACAAAGTGGATGGAAAGCTGGATCCTTTCAGAAATAGGCGGAGTCACTCTTTCTCTGCCATCCCAATCAGGGATGGTGGGTAGTTTCGATGGGGTAGGAGCAGGAGGCACAGAGCCTCTGCTAGGGGTTGGAACAGAGAAAGTGGGAGGTTGAGTTGTTGGAGAAACTGTATTTGGAGCGGGAGTGAGGAGCAGCAGACCAGGGGTCGTGGTAGGACACGACAAAAGGTTCATATTCAACTCCCTGACAGCCATCCCCCTGACTTGCTCAGGGCCTTGGCACATGAAACCCCGCACATTGAGAGAAGAAGGGATATATTTGAGCCATTCCGTGACCCATTTAATACTGCAGTCACAAAACCAAGGGTTATTCCTAGCAGTGAGCTGTTTCAGGTTGGAGAGATGATCAAAGACCCCTTGTGTTAACATTCGCAGTTGGTTGTTGGATATATCCAGCCGTTCAAGCTTTCGGAGGTTGGAGAAGGCTGTCAAGGGGATATGGTTTATCTGGTTGTCCTGCAAATACAGTCTGATCAGATGCGTACCTGGGAGGTCAGAAGGGGGGTGGGAGAGTGAATTCCGGACTATGGAAAATTCCTTGAGCTTGGTGAGATGGCTGAAGGTGCCCTCTGCAATGCCCTTGTTGGTCAGGAGATTCCCATCCACAATCAGACGCTCCAGGCTGGTGAGGTTCTGAAAGGCCATGTCTGATATGACTGCAATTCTATTTTCATCCACTCTCAGCTCTTGCAAATCTACGGGAAGCCCAACAGGCACGCTGCTCAGGTGATTCTTTGATAAAAACAACAGTTTGAGGCTGATCGCCTCTCGGAAGGCTCCGTCCTCCACTCCCACTGTGGATATGGAGTTGTCATCCAAGTGTAGCTCTTCAAGCTTCAGAAGCTGAGCCAGAGCAGCACGGGAGATGGTTTGGATGTTGTTTTCCTGCAGATGGAGGACTTTGACGTTCTTGGGAAGGTTCATGGGGAATTCATCCAGTTGGTTGCCATAAAGGTAGACCGTGTGCACTGACTGTACGTTGTGCAACTCTGCAGGAAATCCAGCATTATTAATTTGGTTGTTGTGGAGGTAGAGAACGGTTACGCCCTCCGGGATCCCAAGAGGCACTGAGGTCAAGCTTCGCTCGTTACAGTAGACAAAGTTCCTGTCACAGCGGCACACACTAGGGCAGGCCAGGAGTTTTGATACTTGTGAGTAGAGCCCCAGGAAAATGATGAGCCAAGATTTTAGGAAAAAAGCCCTGTGGCTGGGCCACTTGGTAGCCTGTAGGCCCATTTCTGAAGTACAGAAATAGAATATAATGTGATGCAGGAAATTTAAAAACAAAGCAACAACAAACAACAACAAACAACAACAGAAAAAGAAAACAAAATCAAAATGACTGGACTTGGTTCTGTCAAAGTCTAGAACTCCAGTTAGAGGAAATGACCTGAGGGCAGATGGTAAAATAATCTTCCTGATGTCTCTAGTCCGAAATGCCTAGGTTGCCCTCTTTGCTGTGGTCCTCCATGTGCAAAAAAATTCAACAGGAAGAATTTTCCACATATACAGAAGGTGATACGAAGTGATCAACAGTGTCAACAGAAGTCCAGCTGAGTAGGCATAACTTGCTTCTTCTTTTGTCAGTCAGGCCAGAGCTGAGCAGCCAAGGAATTTCTTGGTTAAGCACGGTCTGTAATCTATTGTAGAAAAGAAGAAAGAGGTCAGTTAAGTGTAATAAAGGAAGCAGTATTGGTATGACTTAATCTTTGAAAAACATTTTAACTGGGATTAAGTATTAGGGGGCAGGTGGGATGAGTTAGGTACTTTAAAATGACAATAGCTGTTTGGAAAAGTGTTAAAGAAATACATGATTAAAATATTTTATCCTCCAAAGGTGACAATATTGTTACCTCTCATTGTCTAAAAGTACTATGCAAATGTTACATCTCAATCAGGAATTTCTCTTAAATATCTATTTGCATATTCAAATAGACAAGTACAACAGACATACTGTTGAACTTAAGGAGTTAATGATGATTACTTGAAAGTCTTATTGCTTTAAGATGGAGAAAGGAACAGAGAAACTAGGAAAATTTAAGTGATGAAAAAAAAAAGCACACGCACACACGAAGCCTTACAGAATTACAAATTTTAAAATGCAAGATGAGAACTAAGTTGTTTGAAAAACATACCCTTATTAAGGAATCTTTTCATGTGCTGTATATTTATATTGACCATCTGATATTTTCTAGACTTGGTATGGAAAATGTATTACTCTATAAGTTTCCATGTCCTATAAAAATATTATAAAATTTTGATATAAAAGCTTATGTGTGTTTAATAGGAAATTCTAGGGAACACAATACAAAGAATAAGGTACAGAGGTAATGAGGGTATTACTCTGAGATAAATAATTGTTTCCTTCCTCTGTCTTATGAATACATACACACACATATACACAAGCACACATACACAGTACAATCATTTATCTTCCTTTTGTTACTTAAAAATACCTCATAATCTCATCTCATGCCGCTGAAAATCATGCAACCCTCCTTTTCCTCTGACACCAGGATGGAACAGAACTTAAGTTTAAAGGCAGACTTCTCTTTTTCTGCCTCATTTCTTACTTCTCTCCCCCTTTCTCTTCCTCCAGAATAGCGTACACTTGTTACCAAGGAGACTGACCAGACAGTAGTCCACGACACTGTCCATTCATCCCTTAGGACATCAAGCATCAAGGTATAAACGAGATATGTCATTGTGATCACTTTCAGAGTTGTCAAGAGTATGACTGAGAAAAAATTATGTTTCAACACTACCATCTTCCTGTGAGAATTCCTTCGTGATTTTATGGAAGAACTTTTAGCAAATTTTGAAAGGATTGAGACATAAACACAATCAAGGCAGTCAAGGTGATCCTCTGATAACACTTGTGCCTTCTTGCTCCACAATGTGTTCCATCTGTGTTGAGGTAAAGAAGTTAATTGAAAGGTGCCAGATTTGATTTCCTTATAAAATAAGCCAACATGACAGGGCATGGAGAGTTGTGATTTCTTCAGTTCTCACCAGCACACTGAGATTGGAATGACTTATTTCCAAAAAGAACACAGGCTCTATTTGAAATTGTTCCCTTGCTATCTTTAGAATTACGATTTAAAAAGAAAACAAAACAAAACAAAACAAAGGTAAAAACCACAGCAAATATTATTTAAGTGGTTAAGTGGCAAGGACAGTATAAATTTGTTCTGTAATTTAAAACACTAGAAGAAAAACATAAAAAAAGTCCTTGGAGCATAAAAACCAGTAAAAGCCTATATCACATCTATATACATATATATGTATACACATGTTATAAAATTTTATATTACAAAATATATAAGCTTTTAAATATATATATATGTGTATACACACACACACACACACACACACACACACACACATATATATAATCCAGAACCTTTGAAGGGTGGTGGTGGTAGCAATGATACAATCCCCTTTCCAAGCAGAATCAAGGGAATACAATGCTTTCTTGAAAATCAAGAAATTGAGGGATTGAGGAAATAAGTCTGTGGGTAAAGTCACTGCTAACCATGTATGAAGACCTGTGTTTGGATCCTTACTACCCAAGCAAACACCTGGACAACTCATTGTACACCTACAATCCTAGCACGGGAAGGTAGGTGGGAGGTTTACTGGCCACTCAATCTAAATGAGTCAGTGAGCTTAAAGTTCAATGACATTTCCTGTCGCAAAATCTAAGAAGAGAGTATGATATGGTAGTGCACATCTTTAATCCCAGGCACTCAGTCTGCATGTATGTGGGTGCAGAGGATCCAAACTCCAGTCTTCATGCTTATGTGGTGAGCTCTTGACCTCCTAAGCCATCTCTCCATCTCCAAATACAGTTTTCATTCACTTATCCAACCGATATTTACTTATTTGTTAAAACAAGAACACAGCTGTCTATGAGGCCATGTGATTTTTGGCCTCATTAGGCTTGAAGTATACTGAGGGGAGAAAACCTGAGTGGCAAGAGATTAGTAAACTACAGAAAGACCTATGAAGAGAGCACCAGGATCTCAGGTCCTAGCTAAAGTTCTCTAACCTATTCCATGATATATTAGGAAAACAAGAAACAATTTAGAGGCAGGACTGGATCTGAAGACCTGAAGGACAGAGGCTCAACTACCTAAGATGTCCATGTATGAATATAAGCAGCCTGCAGCTTGAATCAAGACCTAAAACCCAACTCAGCCCAGAGAAGGAATAAAATTTCTGAACACTCTCTCCAATTCATTGTTCCCCCTTTAGAACATAGTAAACCAGTTTCAAAGTCATTCCACACTACATTTATAAATCTTTAAAAGTTGATGATTAAAAAAAAAAAATGTTTCGTAGAAGGTCAGTGCCTACAAAAACCTCAGCATAAATGTCGGGAAGTAGATAAGAAAGCCAACCCTATCTGAGGAATTCCTGGCAACTGATGGCTGCTGGGTGGGGTAGTCAGCCTCTTTCAAGGATAGGACTCATAGTAGGTTAATCAGGCTCCAGTTAATGGGCCCACTATAAAGGCATTTGGGGATACACCTTAAACTCTATAGGTCAGTGCCTACAAAAACCTCAGCATAAATGTCGGGAAGTAGATAAGAAAGCCAACCCTATCTGAGGAATTCCTGGCAACTGATGGCTGCTGGGTGGGGTAGTCAGCCTCTTTCAAGGATAGGACTCATAGTAGGTTAATCAGGCTCCAGTTAATGGGCCCACTATAAAGGCATTTGGGGATACACCTTAAACTCTATAAGTC